TGTCTACTTTGTCACGTTTACGTGTGGACCTTGAACATCTCAAATAATGTTTGTCGACTTAGGGATCAAAGAAGGAAATGGTTAGAAATAAGTGACAGGCATCACACGACTCCTGCACTAAGTCATATTGGAAGGAGTATGACCTTCAGAGCTTCGCTCTAACTAGTAGGTCCTTAAGAGATTTTCCCTTGTGATAAGATATGAAGGGAGGCTCCTTAAAGATTCCTCTTAGTCCTTGCTGGTTTTGTATAAGGTGCCATTTCCCCATAAGTAGTCTCTTCAGGCTAGGTAAAGCCAGGTGGTATTGTGTAACAAAAGGTTTAAGTTTTTTGTGTGCAGATTTGTTTCTCTGTTGTGGGGCCGTTTTCCTGTCAGCAAATTTTACCTCAGAGAGTTACTTTCTTAAAACAGTGGCAGGGTAGCCTCTTTCTAACAGGCAGTTGTGAAAATTTCTGATATTCCTCTCAAATGCAAACTGCGAGGAATTAGTCCTTAGAAACCTGAGAGCTTCCCCTTTTCAAAAAAGCGGTTTGATGCAACTCTGACTCACTATGTTTTAATATTCTGGCCATGAAGATGTTTGCAAAACCAAGCCAGCTATGACTAAATACAAGCTCAGTGAGCTCACAGCAAAGGCCTCAAGGATCTTTCAGATTGATTATGCACCCTTAAAGAGGAAATCCTGTGCGAAAAAACAAAAAACACCGCACTGCAAAACCTAAGGCCTTTCGTACCTCTCAGAGGACGTCGGCGGTTTTGCAAAATATCGCCCCTGGCTTAGATAAGGACTCTCTGCGCGAAAAGGGTCACATACAAAAAGAGATTCTTTTGAATTTAAAACAAAGAGAAAAGAAATGGGCCAAATTATTGGTATCCCAAAATGACACATCTCAGCTAAGCAGTGACGCGAAAGACTACCTTGCAGGCTTACTAGGCAAGGAGAGAAGCAACTAATTCCTCCCATGTCGACGATAAGAACGAGGATGACGAAGATCATGATGATGTTGCCTGGAGTGAGGAACAAGACGAAAGTGATGATGATGACCGCAGTGTTTCCGTACTGCCCAAACCAGGAGAGGCATCTTCGTCAGATATTGAAGATTATGGTCTATATTGGAATAATTTCTCGGAGTCCATGCCATACCTGCATCATCTTTCAGACTAAATTTCAAATATTTGCGTTTTTCCTGGTTCATTTTGCTTGGTTTTCTTTCCATTTCTTTTCTTCAGGCTTTAGCCTGATTGTATCCTTTGTTTTCAAACCGCCTTTGATATCAAAATATTTTGCCTATTACCTACAGCTAATAGGCAAGAAAATGCTCCGAAAAAAACTGACAACATCATTGTCTTTTGGTGACAGTGTACATGTTCAAATGTTTCAGTACTGTTTACTGATGACTTTCTCTCATCTTCCGGTTTTAATATTGTAGGAACTTTGCACTAGGCAACAAATTCAGTTGTGTTTTAGAAAACAGATATGCTTTATAGAGACTTTGTGTAAAACAGTGCTCCATGTTTACATGTGTAATTACATAAAACGGATACAGTTGGCTCAAATAAAGAGACTTGTGAGATTTAAGACTTGAGGTAAATACTTACAGAATACTTATGACCTAAAAAAAATCGTGGCCCTAGCCTCAAAGGTATTTTTAAAAAAATGGCCCTCCCCAATGTGAAGCTAAAAAAATTGACCCTCCCCCCAAACATAGTGTCACGTATTGCTTACATGAAGTGTATTTTGTATCATCTTGTATCGTCTTACATGAAGTATTCTGAGCATCTCAAATAAGCAAAGTCTTGTGTAACCACGTGGGATTTTGTAATTAAAGATGTTAGCTTCGAGTTGAGTGTCGCCGTTGTTGGAGTTCTTACTGAGCGTTATCCCTCTAGACATTACACATAGTAGCCCTCACAACCTCCCCCCCCCCCCCCCCCGCTAAATAATGACCGGTCCCTAAGAATAAGTCAGTTCATTAACCTACAACCAATACTCCGGCCAATGTTATTGTTAAGGTAACCAGTCTATGTTTTGAGCAATGGGAACCATTTCCAATCCCTTGCAAATAAAAGAGACCTTGAACTCTTGCTTTGTTTCAGATGCAAAATCTCATTATATCTCCTTTTTCCCCGTTGATGTACTGATCTCGTCACTGTTATCATTGCTACAGAGAGTTACAAATAAGGGGTAGATAATCTTGTTAGTTTTCTAAAACAAAAGATTACGATGATAAAGATGATCGTTAAATGCTTTTTTACAAGGAACTTTAAGTGGTGTTCAAGCCAGCCCATTTTCACGACAGAAATGTTGCACTGTTCCAGAAAGAAGGCGGATCATATTACGCTTTCACATTACACCTATCAGCACACTGGGCATCAAAAATTCCCATACAGGCTTTCCGTTAGCTGGGATGCGGGAGAGGAGAATAAGCCACTTTCCTTGCAAGGAACACCACAGTACACATGCTTAACAATAGGAAAACCTGTGAACTGGCAGTACATTTCAAAAGTTCCCAACATGACATTACGCAAACAAGTTTTACTGTATTTGTTCACCAATAACTCGCAATTCTTGACGATATATTGCCAATTCCTCTCTATATCAAGAAGAGAGGAGATTGACATCTGTAACAGCCAGCAACCATGTCAGTAGTCTGCTCTACCCACTGAAGTACCACCACTGGATGAAGGGGCCGAAATTCGAACACATGCGCATTATCTCCCAGCTCAGAAGAATGGCTACTGTCCTTCAGAAGCAAGGGGATCTGGAGAGAGCGACAGTGCGGTGAAGATCTCAGAGCCCAAAACAAGTGGTTGGATTCGCAAGTGTGCTAGTATAAACAAGACAGCGGACAAACAAAAGAAAATAGAAAAAGAAAAAAGTACAAATAAATAAATAAATGGCAGCCCTAGTTGATGAGAGTAAGAAAATATTTGTGCTACCAAGGCTAGGCACAAAAAAACCTTATTTCTCCCAGTGGAATGCGTTGGAAAGTTTCAAAGAACAACACAAAGATCTCAACATTTTTATATCAGCCTCTTTTAACGACTAGTGACCTACTTGCTTGTTAACATACCTCGTCCCCCTAACTGATCAAAGACAAAAAGCAACGCGCTCAGGAGGCCTGCGACCTGCTGCTGCTGTCACTGTATGCCCACCTCCCACCCAGCAGGGGTATAGAAATCAGCACGATGGCATTGGTTTTTGAAAGCGAACTTCAAGTGCCATTCGAGTCTGCCCACTTTTGCAACAGAAATGTTGCACTGTTTCAGAAAGAAGGTGGGATCATGTTACACCAAGGAAAGTTCAAAACTTATCAGCACATCGGGCACGGAACAATTCCCATACAGGCTTTCCGTTAGCTGGGATGCCGGGGAGGAGAATGATCCACTTTCCTTACAAGGAACATCAGAGTACACTTTGACTGTGACCACACACATTAAAAATCTGTTGCAGTGCTGTGTCTATGCAGACAGGATATGAGGTAGGGTCTCTCATGTGATTAAGAGCGAGTCAGTTCATTAGCCTACAACCAATTATTCCAGCCCAAGTTACTGTTATGGTAACTGGTCTGTTTTTTTTTTTTTTTAGCAAAGGCACCTATTTCCAATCCCTAGCAAATAAAACAGACCTTTAACTCTTGCTTCGCTTCAGATGCAAAATCTCATTCTTTATTTCACTATTTCTTTTTTCCTTTTGATGCACTGATCTAGTCACTTATCATTGCTACATAGGATTATAAATGAGGGTTAGATAACCTTGTTCGTTCTCTAACACAAAAGATTAGGATGATGAGGATGATAATTACATTTCTGTATTATGGTTATAAAAGGCACTGCAAGTTACAGCAGAACCAACACGAAGACCAAGTGGGAGTTCTGGGATGGTACAAAAAGGAAAACAGCCAGCTCCCAGACATGTTGTGTCCAGGACTGGTACAACACATGTGTCTGCGGTAGTCCCAACAGCTAACACTCAAAGACAGAGGGATGAATAAGAACGGCAGGAAGTACCACCCAGTCCCCGAGAACGTCTGCTAGCTCTGCCAGGAATTACGGCAACTCTTTGAACAGGATTTAGAAGTTCTTGCAGGAAAACCAACCTTGCGACCCACAGCAGGTAAACTGGGATTGAAAAAACAGATCTGCACTCTGGCAAAAGTGATTTGATAGGTGCTGACTTCAAAATATTAGATTGGCATACATAATTTTTCATTTGCAGTCCATGTCCTTTGAAAACAAATCATCTTGAGATGTATTTATTACAGGTCAAAATCAAATTTAGGCTAAAATTTTTCTTACCAAAGCTGATTTTCAGTTTTCTTTCTTTCATAGCCCTAAATCATAAATAATCGAGGCTAGGAGACAAAGGAAATTGAGAATCAATCTACAATACTCGTCACAAATCGTTGAAACAGACACCGTTTCTCTCGAATTTTCTGGAACAATCATGAGATTTCTACTTCACACTGTTTTCCCCCCTGAAATGTGCCTTCTCCCTCCCCAATGTTGAGCCACGCGTATTTTGAAGCACTCAGACCACTGTGATACCCAAATCAACATTGGGGAAGGGGAAATAGACACAAGTGTTTCAAGATTTTTGACGAGTATTGTATTTAGTCTGAAGAGAGGAAAAAGTAACAGTTTCTCTTCAAGGCGAATTTTTGGATCATCGATACAATCCACCTGCTTGGTTCGCGCACAGATGAGAAAGATAAATGTAGGATGTCGGATTATTGTTCAGTTATATTTAACCAAAAAAAAACAAAAGATGAAAATAAGGGAAATAAAAGCAATGTGTTACACATACAGGCAGTAATTAAGACATGCGGGAAAATGTGAGGTCGCTGATGAGGCTTCATTTTCTGAAGACATATATTGCAACTTTTCAAAAGGGAAATAATATTTACCTAAGCTAATTAGATTTTCTCAGCGCAAGAAATGAGGGCATGTCTGTTGGTAAATGTCTTTCCTGTTCAAGAAACGGGGAATCGTGTAGTGAAATGGCAAACCGTGACGCGACAAGTAGTGAAGTGTTAGACTTAAGCACCCTGACAGAAAGTGTAGCAGGTGATGATGCTACTGAGCGATCGGAGGCGCTGGGGTCACGTCAAGTTCGGAGTATTTATCTAATCACGTACAGCCGAGCGAACGAGGAGATAGTTCCTAATCGAGAAAGTTTTGTTCAGCTGGTGTTGGATAGTTTCGACAATGCAGACCCATTAACGCGTTGTGAGATATTACAGTGGGTGTGCAGCCAAGAACGGCATAGGGATGGGGCGATTCATTATCACATGGCAGTGAAATTAAATGCACGGCGACGCTGGCTGAAAATACGCAATTACCTTGATGAGCGACACGGAGTGAAAGTGAATTTCAGCGCTCGCCATAGCAATTATTATTCAGCCTGGCAGTACACCACAAAGGAAGACGAGAGTTACTTACAGTCTGATAACCATCCCGATTTGACTAATACCCCTGCACCCAATACTTCAAGGGCTACCGAAACGCATACGCGACTTGCCAATGGACGAAGGAAGCGTAAAAAGTCCTCCCAAAGTTTATCGGTTTATGATGTATCGCAGATAGCCGTAAAAAATGGCATAACAACTCGGTTAGAGCTGCTGGTGTTAGCACAAAAGCAAAAAAGTGAGGGGAAACTTGACTTGGCGCAGTTCATTGCGAATCGTGGAAGTCGGGTAGTGGATGAAGCGATATTTGTGGGCTGGGAATTAGAAAACGCGGAGAGCACGCTGCAAAGGAGTAAAATGACTCGAATTGAGATTTTGTACAGTAAATTGGAAGGAGAGTGTGAGCCAGGGTGTGACGGCCAGTGGTTGCAAATGGCAAAAGAAGTGTTAGAGCGGAACTCTATTGTGAGGGATGACTTTGCAGAAGCTGTTCGCATACTTCTCGACAAAGGGCGCGGAAAGTATCGCAATCTTTACTTGAAAGGTCCCTGTAACTGTGCGAAAACATTTTTGCTAAACCCTTTGAACACTATCTACAAAACATTCAGTAATCCAGCCTCTACAACGTTTGCTTGGGTTGGCGCAGAACAGTCAAAGTAGTTTTCTCAACGATTTTAGGTGGTCTGCTCAAATTATTCCCTGGCATGACTTCTTAATGCTTCTTGAAGGCCAAAGTGTCCATCTACCCGCCCCCAAAACACACTACCGACAAGATATTCTGTTCCAGGAGATACACCCATATTTTGTACCAGTAAGGACGAACTTAGTTATGTACGAGGCGGTGTTGTTGATGACAGGGAGACTCAGATGATGAAGGTAAGGTGGCGTGTCTTCAATCTCTTCCATCAAATACCCGAGGAACAGCAGAAGTCAGTCCCCCCGTGTGGAAAATGTTTTAGTCGACTTATTTTCCCACAAGACGACTAATTCAATTATGACTGAGCTTATGTAAATATCACCGACTTTGTTGACATTTTGTAATCTTTGCTGTGGTTTCAGTGTTACACGATTCACCATGGTGTTTGGAAAATTATTTGCCTTTTTTAGGAACCAAACCAAAAGCTACTGCATCTACAAGTGTTTTAAGTGATAGAACAGATCACGGAACATACACCTGAGGGATAATTTTGTTGATTAAGCTATTTAATAAGGCTATTTCTAGGGCTTCACCATGGTGAACCGATAGTTCTTAAAGTCTATGGTACTATAATTACTTTACTTTAGAACACAGTGGTGAATCGTTGAGTTTCAGCGCTAAGAAGGTTGACAGGTCCTTAAAACAAATGATCTCTTTTAATAATGTAATTTTCTATAAAGTTAGCTTATTTTTGTACATAGAACTGTTAAGAGCATAGCAAAAGAAGAAAAAGGTTCCGTGTTCATTTGACACCTTTGTGTAGTTATTTGAGATAAGGACTAAGCGGCCATGTACACTATTCTTTCCCTGGAGCTCCAACAGAAATCATGTCACAATGAATAGCGAATCAATGTCATAAAATGACCGCAAAAAAACATTCTGCTATCTAAAAATCGCTAAACGTCCTCTTGATGGCCATCGGAGCAATCTTCACCCCCTTCTGTTTTGAAATATGCAACACCACCCCTCCCCCCTTCTTTTTGGCGAATAGTGATATTGTCTCTGAAAGTTTACATTTTGCGAGAAGAAATCTCACGCAATTATCCACAGAATGCAATTAGGGGTATTTCTTTAATATTTTATACGCTTCCCCTTATTTCTAATCACCATATCAATTCGTTTCGGCATAGAGCGTATTAAATTGTTCACAGTCTCAACAGATATAGAGTAAAATGTACTGATAACACGATTCTTAAATTGTTCAAATGTTTCACGGCGTAGTTGTTGCTGCACTGCTTGTATTTTTAACATCCTACTCACCATGGGGAACACATTTTCAATGACCGCCATATCCGGAGATCTTGGACACAGTTTGATTAAGGTACTGTTTGTGCGTTGCATCGCTGCCCTTGCTAAAGCCGAATTTTGAGAGGGATCCCCATCTTGTAAAAACGTTCGGCTACATCCTTTATCAGCAGCTGCGAATAGGCGATCTAAATGGTTATCTATAAAGGCAGCGAAATAACGACCAGTCATTTTCTCGTAAGGTTCACAGCAGATAACTCCTTTATTGTAAGAAATTGCCACCATCAGTCGTAATACTTTGCCCCCAGTTCCCTCTTTGCGGCCCTTTGCTATGCATCCGGGAGCCAAACCCTCTGATTTCTTCCTCCAGACACGAGCTTTTGGTGCACGAGCCTGATCCAGTGGATTTCTTTTGTACGTAAATCCTGTTCCATCCAGGTAAAAGGCAATTCCTTCTGTCCAAATCTCCTGGCTGTAGTTGGCTTTCATGTACTTTGCAAACTTCACTCTTTTGCTGTGGTCTTCCGCAGTCATGAGCCCCTTTCTGCGAGTCTGCAGATAGTAGTAATTTTTTGAATTGAGAAAACGAGAAACTGTTCTTACAGATACGTCCTTTTGTTGAATTCCGGCTTCCTCCATCAGTGCTTTACAGGTAAAGTTCCCCTCTCTTTTCCTCAAAACTGTAATGCATCGTATCAGTCGTCTTTTGTCGCGGTCACTTAACTTGTTCTTGCGACCTCTTTTACACGTCTCCTCCGAAGTGCGACTCTTATAAGTTTTCTCATGTGCAATTCTATGAACAGTAGCCGCAGAAATTTTGCACATGCTGGCAACTGTTCGCACAGATAGGCCTTTAACCCGACATAGATAATACGCACGTGCACGAGTCACGCTATCGATTATACCTTTAAACACCATCGCAATGTGCTAATAGGCAGAGCCGTTTCACTAAACTGTTTAACCACAAAAGTACCTTAAAATCGCTATACTTTAAAGTTTGCATAGCTTCTTTATATAACTCCTACTTCATATCTAGAAAAGACAAAACAAGAACACTCCTCACGTAACCACCGCAGGGAACAATAATTACTCTTGCTACGTTTACGTTACCCGTCCACGCCCTTCAGACGCAAAGACAATACTCGTCACAAATCGTTGAAACAGACACCGTTTCTCTCGAATTTTCTGGAACAATCATGAGATTTCTACTTCACACTGTTTTCCCCCCTGAAATGTGCCTTCTCCCTCCCCAATGTTGAGCCACGCGTATTTTGAAGCACTCAGACCACTGTGATACCCAAATCAACATTGGGGAAGGGGAAATAGACACAAGTGTTTCAAGATTTTTGACGAGTATTGTAGGTTAAAAACTTTAAACCTAAATTCAATTTTGATCGGTAAAAGAGACAAGGAAATTGAGAATCAACCTTGGTTGAAACATTTTTATCCTAATTTAACTTTGACATAAAACATATTTACGTCACTACTTGCACAAAGCATGTTTTATATTTTTTCCTTTACTTTATTGATGCAAAGCACCCAGTTGAAATAGAGTAGGATTGGAGACTTCTTAGTGGATTACAGGCAGGTAAATACACTTACAGTACTTGCTCAACAATGAACTGGAAATTCCCCACTCTTAAGAGTTTGGTACTCCCAACAGTGTAAAATTCATCAAAAGTAATCAATCCACCACAGCAGGTAGACAACGTTGCTAAGTCAGTGGATGTACCTATCTCACCTGTTACTTTTTTCTGCTAGGAAGAACAGGCGACAACTTCAGACACACAGACTTTAAAGGACACTAGACAAGATGCAGCCTGTCCACCATACAAAGTTGAACGTGCTGGAATAGTGCCACAGAGAGTGTGCGATGTTTGGACAGCTTGGGAGAACCCATCACAAGAGATTCACAGGAAGAAAGAGATCAAAATTACGCGTACTGTCTATGTCAGGAACACAGAGGGAATATAGCCGATGTGATTGGCAAATGGCAGAATGAAACTTGTGCTGCTTGCATGCCGATGAATGACGGGACCCGAACCATTTGCTATTGCTGTCTGGAATGCACCTGCAACATATGAATATCAGGCCGGGCTGCAATGTAACTGTGGTGATTGTTGTGATGACCAATTGCACTCATCTCCCCAACCTTTTTGCAAGAGTAGGTGTCTTGGCCATGGAACATATTGCTGTCGGCTTGGGCGACAGTCTGGTATGCAAGCAAATGCCTTGGAAAGCTGAATCCTTCCACTGTAATTGAGAGAGTAGTCAGACTGTGACCTTCGACTAGCAGGGCTCGAAATTAACGGTAACCCGTTAACCAACGGTTAGTAATTTTCAACGTTTGGTTACTAAACATGTGTCCAACTAACCTGACGTGGTTAGCAAAAATTTTCTTAAATATTTAAATTATGTTATGGAAATAGCCTTTTTACAAGTAAATGTTAATTTTTAGGAACGATTTTTGTGTTGTTTTCTTGCATGAGATTGTTTTGTCTCAACAATTTGTTCTCGCCATCTTTGCGATCGAATCGAACTTTTCAGACCTTTTGAGCAATAAGACCCTGGAGACGAGTTTGTATCGAATCTGGACACTACAATATCGGATCCGCCATCTTCACTTCGAAATTACTGTTTGCGAGGTTAACTGGCAGTTTGGCATTGAATTATGCAGAGTTCTTTGGATAGATTTATTAGAAAAAGGCAGGCTCCAGCTGAAAGTAACTGTGGTGAAGAAGAGAAATGTCAAGAAAAGGAACCAAAGACAACAGAAGATATGGAAGACTCCAGCTCCCGGAAGCCTTACGAAGAAAAGAGGAAACAAGAGGGCCAATCATTTCGACAGGAGTGGAAGAAAACATTTGCGTGGCTTCAGTTCGACGAGACTAAACAGGAAATGTTCTGTACCGCCTGCCGGGAATTTCCTTCTCTAGCAGATAAAAACAGTTCTTTTTTTTACCGGAAGCCAAGCTTTTCACATTGGAAATATAAAAGCACACGCAAGTAATCGTAGACACGAAGCATGTGTTTTCGCAAAACAGCAGAGGGAGCAGCAGGAAAGAGGTTCACGAAACGTTGTTCAATCTTTGCAACAAATGTCAAGCGACAGTGAAGACAAAATGAAGAAGCTATTTAATATCTCTTATTTTATTGCAAAACATGAGCGACCGTTCAGTGACTTCAAAGACTTCTTCAAACTTCACGTGAAGAATGGCCTGTCATTGGGGGAGACTTACATTAATGACAAAGGTTGTCGTGTTTTTATTGAGGTAGCCTGCATAGCAGGCGTCGAAAGGGGTAGGGGGTTGGGGATAGGGAGGAAGGGAAAAAGGGGAGGGGGATTGGGGAGAGGGGGAGGGGACGCCTGCTCTAAGAACCCCCTTTTGTTCATATCTGCGGACGCTGGCGTCCGCAAATTCCTGATTGGCTGAGCGGTAATGAGTAACATATTGAAATGCGCATTTCACAAATCAACAAACAGTCGAGATGACAGCGGTAGACGTGGATGTCGTAGAGAGTGCTTTGAGAGATGCGAGTTTATCTAGTGGTAGAGAAACTGTTTTAAAACCAGAGCAAGAATCAGCAGTAAGGGATCTTTTAGCCAACAGAGATGTTCTGGCAGTTTTGCGGACCGGATACGGCAAGAGTTTAATTTACCAAATGTTTGTACGCGCGAAGAACTACGAGCTGAATGGTAATGCGGCGATTCTCGTCA